ACCTTTTTCGAAATCAAATTAATTTTAACTCTTGAGGAATATAAAACTTATATTTACTTATATTCGATAACTCGGTGTTTTATAATTTACAAAATTGTTTTTCGGCTGGTATTCTATTTAAGCTAATGTATTTTATAAACTTTGAATGCAGCGGAATTTTAAATTTTCTAGAGTTTTAATAATTCGGAATGTTGTCAATCTGACTGGTTGACCGGGGTTATCTGAGTGATCCGAACGGAAATGTAGCCAATGTAATTATTGTCAAGGAATTCAAAAAGTAACTTGCTCTTTAACAAGTTATATACATTTAATACTTCTTACATAACACTTAATGTATGTCAAATAATAGTAAATTCTATATGATAAAATACACACATTAAAACATTTAAATATCATATTTATGAAAAAAATTAAACTGTAACCTATGAAACATTACAAAAGAACGACAATTGATCTGTCTTCTAAGTCTTTTAAGTCATAAGTAAGAAATTAGTTGTCGGTAAGGTAAATTTTTTTAGGTAACTGGCGGTGGAGGAAATTTAAATTATATAATTTAAATTCAAACACAACCTTTTTATTCTAAATAAGAATAATTCTTCTTGAAAATTTTTATTGTTTTTATTTATTAAAATATTTAAATATTGATTACTAAAATAAAACAAAAAATTGCTTATTTAATGGGAAATTATTTATTTTTCTTTATAATTTATAAGTAATTTTTTTTTTTTTTTTAATTCTATAAAACAATTCTATTTTAATTCTATTAAAAACAAACTGTTCTTTAACTTGTTTCAGTTTAAACTATTATTTATTTATACACCTTTTCAACATTTATCAATAATTACGTTCTTGTCATGTGAATATTATAAAACAAACAATTATTTTTTATATATATGTAACCTTTTTATTCTAAATAAGAATAATTCTTATTGAAAATATTTGTTGTTTTTATTTATTAAAATATATAAATATTGATTACTAAAATTAAACAAAAAATCGCTTATTTAATGGGGAATTATTTATTTTTCTTTATAAAGTAATTTTTTGTTAATATATTTAAAATATTAAAATCAAACTGTTTTTTATTTGTTTCAACTTAAATTATTATTTATTTATACACTTTCTCAAAATTTATCGATATTAAAGGAACAAAAACATCTTTTTTTTTTTTAATTTTCTAATATTTTTGAACTTACTAATTATATCTGATATTCCTATATTTTTTTAACTTTAATCTAAGTTTAAACGAATTATATTTAAATAAATAATTTTTTCTTCTTATGTTATTCTTATTACATATATATAAAAAATAATTGTTTGTTTTATAATATTCATATGACAAGAACGTAATTATTGATAAATGTTGAGAAGGTGTATAAATAAATAATAGTTTAAGTTGAAACAAATAAAAAACAGTTTGATTTTAATATTTTATATAATTAACAAAAAATTACTATATAAAGAAAAATAAACCTACAACTAATTTCTTACTTATGACACTTTGAAGACTTAGAAGACAGATCAATTGTCGTTCTTTTGTAATGTTTCATGGGTTACAGTTTAATTTTTTTCATAAATATGATATTTAAATGTTTTAATGTGTGTATTTTATCATATAGAATTTACTATTATTTGACATATATTAAGTGTTATGTATGAAGTATTAAATGTATATAACTTGTTAGAGAGCAAGTTACTTTTTGAATTCCTTGACAATAATTACATTGGCTACATTTCCGTTCGGATCACTCAGATGACCCCACTTATTTGAAGCGTCTCAAAAATAATGTCATCATAAAATCGCAATCGCAACTTTACGGTAGTTATTTGTATACCTTCCCCAAACTACATTAGGGTAGTTTCCACTGAGAAGTCAAATCATCTGTCCAGCTCGACGATTGGATGAATTGAACCAATAAACGCTAGCGTAAAGTTCAAAGAAAAGACGAAGACGAAAGCGAGAAGACTCATTTCAACTCATTCGATAATACGCCATCAGTGTATCTAGTTTATTAAAAAAAAAGCAAAAAATAATACTGCACAAGTCCTAACTGGTACTAGTATCTATACATTGAAATAAAGAGGCGCATTGTCTAAA